GGTGACTTTTTCCGCCAAGTGACCCTTGAAAACATTATATATTAGTAGAACTAGTGTTATATTTTTAAGAGAATATTTTTATGAAAAAAATGTCTCAATTGCCAAATTGCTTCCAGGCGTTTTGCACGAGCAAAATGTTCAAAAATGTTTGCCTTCGGCAAACTTTAACTGTACGGTACTACTACTATAGTATTGAAATTTATAAAACCTTTGATATTCTGACTGTGGCGCACAGAAAATAATTCCTACACCCCTCAATTATATGCTATTACATGAGAACATTGCGAGGTATCTAGGGGTAGGACAGGAGGGATTATTTTAATTTTACGGGAAATTGAATAAAAATTGAATCAAGCTTTCTTGGAAACGCGTAGCTCCAGTATAGACATGGGTTTAAGTATAAGTATAACTTGCAAGTCATTATCAAGTTATCAGGGTACCAACTACCACATTACGTTTGAAAAATTTAATTACATCTCCCCACGAATTTTACCTGGGGACCTCGAGGCTTCTCTGTTCATAAGCAGATTAAATATATATTGGAATGACAATTGATAGGCCGAGCGCCGCCCAGTAACAAGAATTTTGATAGTATTAATTTGTTTATAATTATATTTATATGCTCTCTCGTACCACAATTAGAAAGTCTATCATTTTACTCTTAGTTCCCAAAAATTGTTTCGACAAAAATTTTGGCGGCCCTCTCGTAAATTAATGGCACATATAAATGTTTGCATTGCATTGACGCTTTTATTTGTCACTGACACTATACAATATACATGCAGTACTTTTAGTTAAACTTAAATTATTTCATGTTCAATTCCATTGGAAATAGTTTTCAACCAAAACCCAAAATTGGGTAATAATATAAAGTGCATGGAACGTAACAAAAGTTTCCTTTTTCCAAATAAAAGGAACTGATATCAATTTAAATGACTGTTTCTGTACTAAACGCGAAATGTTGCCGAGAATGAAATCGGCCGTGAATGAATCAGAATAAGAAAACCTTACGACCAATATAAACTGAAGTGTTTTTTCAAATTATCTGGTATCCTGAGGATAAAAATAGCCGCAGAGATATATGTTTATCTTAGAAACATAGTATGTCCGCAGGCTAGGTTATCGTCAAGGGAAGCATTACCTTACCGCGGTAGATGTTTACTTAACGACTAGGAAAGATTCATAGATTCCTCTACTGGGTTAACTTCCGGTTACCTGATTAAGATTTGTATATGAAGTCTTGACCCCCATACCATTGTCGTGACCCCTATACCATCATGTCGTGACCCCCATACCGGGCATACCATTGTCATTTGTCGGTCCACTTAGTGTCGGGTGCAAACGTGAGGTAAAGTAAGATCATTTCCAGAAATTTCAGAAATCTTCCAGAAATTTCAGAATGTTTAAGAGCTGTTACACACCAATTATTCAGTCTTAAAATATTTATTGATTCATTGAATCATTCAGTCGGCTAAGCTAATTTATCATTCGATTCCACCGCCAGTTCATTTCCGGACTTCAACTTGTGTCAAACCCTCTATAGTTCCATGGCCAAATAATACGGTAAAATAATTCGGGCAAATCTTATTTGTGAACAAAATTTATTCGGGTGACATGTTCCATGACCAAATAATTTGCATGCAGAAATCGATACGCGTATCGGTTGCGTCGGGTGAGATCGAGACTGCGACCACCCAAGTTTAAATTAGGATTAAAATTACCTAAACATCACGCAAACTAGTGTAACAACCAATGTGCAGAAGCAAATTAGTGTCCTTCATATATCACAATGCTGGCAAGCATTACCGTCGCCCTTATATTCACAATACTATTTACCCCCTATACTAGTATATCCCCTTTATTGTTTTCCAGGCATTAAGACTCATCGAAAGTAGTTCAGCAGGTATATTTAAGTTCAAAACATTCTAATTCAATGTTAAAGATGACAGGAATAAGAAATAGTTATGTGGAGGTTTTAAAGAAATTTGCGCAAAATACGCGCCAGCATGTTATACGAAATTAGGTAAAAAACCCAAAATCGCCATATTCAGGTGCCTTAAAAACCATGTTAAAATTGAGTTAGAGATCTGAAACTTTGCAGGGCGTCTAGACCTTGTCCAAATCGACTGCAAAAAAATTTCATGTTTCAGGAGTATCGGGAAGTGGGTTTTCTGGAACCCCTGTTTTACAACAGATTGTCGTGAAGCATATATATATATAATTTGACCAAAACCCATATTCATGGGTAGAGTGGACCGCTGCCAGTGTCTCTTTTTCCCAAACAAAAGGAAATGATATTAATTTGATTGACCGTTCTCAAATGCAAAATGATACCGAGAATGAAATCGGTCGCTCGCTTTTCCCATTCATTCACGGCTTACAATCAATCACATGTTGTAAAAATTCCTTTGGGTTGCGTTCGGGTCGATATACCTAGTATTTCGGGATAAGGGTGGTACTGGTAGTTAGTGAATTAGCTGAAGTTTATTGATTCTTTATTGCTGAGTACAGCTGCCTTCGGGTAGTTCTTCTTAATCTATTACAATTGTAAATTAATGGGAAAAGCGAGCGACCGATTTCATTCTCGGTATCATTTTGCATTTGAGAACGGTCAATCAAATTAATATCATTTCCTTTTGTTTGGGAAAGAGAGACACTGGCAGCGGTCCACTCTACCCATGATTATGGGTTTTGGTCAAATATCATCTCTTTTTGATTATAATGTCAGGGTACTTTATAAAGTCGAAATATAAACTGATGTCTTCATTAATAAGGAGGAAGTTTCAACGATTTCGAAATTTTTCCTTTAAAAACATTTCCTTGTGTTTAGGTAAGCATATCGGTCTATCACTGACTGAACATAAAACATTATAATCATTCAAGTTGCCATTAAATTCATATATAATGACATTGAACTGTCGTGGTAAAGCAGAATTTGTTCGAAATCACGAATGAGCAAAATTCTCACCGTTCGCACGTGCAAACTTTGAGCGGTTGTTGCGTGCGCATCCAATACTGAATCGCCGTAAATTTTTGCATAGCGGTATTTTATATATAGTTTGATAAGAGTGCAAAGTTTCAAAAGATTTCAAATAGAACTTGGATCACAGCGGGACTCCAAAGTTGATAAAAATCGTGAAAACACCAATTTTCAGTGATTTTAGCAATTTTTAATCAATTTGGGCGTGTCCCCACGTGTGCAACTTTTCGATTTTCAACTTTAAAACTAGCCTAATGCACAATTTATACCTATAGAAAGCATAACTGAGCTCCACAACCAAGGGATAGCCCAACACCAGAGAATACTAAATCGCAAAATTGACGTTTTTATAAAATAATTTTTCAAAAAAGCACTAACTTCAAAGGCAAATATCTTTATGAAGGAGTAAGATAAGAAAACTTTCCGGTAGATTTTCAGAATGCTTGAACAATTATCTAAGGTGAAAATTTCCTCAGATGTTGAAAAAAATTACTTTTAAATGGTGTAAAATCAATTTTAAAAGTTATTACTTTGTCGAAAATCAAGTTTTAAAAACGGTTAACTTGATGACGTCATCAAGGGGTGTTTATGACGTCAAATAATTTTTTTATACAATATAAACTAAAGTGTAAACAATTATTTTCAAGATCTGTGGTCGGAAATGGCTGTATCTTTTATACTTTTGAATCTATGGACACTTAAATTTAGGATACAGGTAGCTCGACGAAGAAATCAACAAAAACGACCATGAGATCTCGAAATCAGAAGATGCCATCTCAAAACAAAAAAGTTCCATCGAGGATGTTGTCAACCAAGTAGCAGTTAAACCAACATTGCTTTACATCGCTTTGATGATGGGCTTGGGGTCCTTCAACATGGTAAGAAACATTCATTTTGTCTGTATCTTGAACTCTGATTACCTTACTCGGGAATATTATAGCGGGTTAATTTATGACTGGGAAAATTAATAACCGGGAAAAATATGGCGGAATTTCCCAAAACCCGCCAAATTATCCCGGTCATGTATTTACCGGTGGCCGACCTTTCAAGTTTTTTTTCAGAGGTCAACAAATTTTCAACCGAAATTTCTGTTTTTGTTACTTGTTAAAGAAGTTATTTCAATTTACAGTTACTGATATTACTCAGAAATAGAAAAAAAGACACGTCGATAGTATTTAAAGGAAAATAAATCTATAGCAATAATAAGTCAAATCTTCATTAAAGCGTATTCTCATTCTCATTATCGCTAATGTCCCCACTCCCCTCCATTATCATTATTGATATCCCCCTGCTGCTGACCGTCAAATTCGAAGTTGTATTGTTGTCTTAACAAGACTTTCATTTTGTCCGCTAATGGGGCTACTGCTCTGAAGGTCAGCCGTAGCTTAATTTCCTGCCCACCGCTTGGTATTGGGGAACGTCTTGGCTTTGCATCTTCAACTGCTCCAGTAATCAATCCACCGTGGACCATGAAATAGTGGCACAGTTTACTCACTTCATGGGCAAGAAAAGTGAGAATCACGGTCCACCCTGAAATCTGATTTCTATAACCAAATTGTGATTTTTATAACGAAATTATGGTAGCAACCGCCAATAAAGTTACAGCCCTCCATCCACTGCTTCAAAAGTCTTCTCTAGCACATATGAGACTTCAGGTAAAATATGATGATCACCACCCCCTTGGAACCCCATAATCTGAGTCGGCGGGTTTTTTTATGACTGGTAAAATTTTTGACCGGGAAAAATATGGCGGAATCTTCCAAAACCCACCACTTTATCCCGGTTATAATAATCCCGAGTAAGGTAATGAAATTTATTCACATAATTTTCATTATCACTATGTTTAATACTGACTAATTCCAACTCAGACGTGTGCAGTTGTAGCTTATTTTCCAAATTTTGGAGGCTACGTGCCCTACACAGATTGGAGATGTATATCAACGAGTGATAATTGCTATAAAAGAACCACCAAGTTCCTTGACCGAGGTGAGTCTAAATTTTAGTGATTGCCACTTCTTATTCCCATTAAAGTGAAACAAAGCTCGCAATCGGTCTCTTGAATTTGCACCAAACTCACGATCATCAATGATTATTGACAGGCTGGGAGACAAGGCCTACAGATGAACTTGTTTTTATTGACAGTAGATGCGCTATCAAATTTAGACAGGATGACTTAACTGCGGACCTACTGACCTTGGAGCTATGGGAGAACGCTACAACCCATCTTGGGACCCTAGATTTTGATGCAAGTGGCCAAAAAATTGTGATAAGATCAATGACATTTTGCAAGAATGAGGCAAGCTCCTGCACAAAAGAATTTCTCTATGATATGGAGACTGATAAGAAAGGCTTGAATTGCCAAATAACCTTTGCTGGATCGACTTGGTCGCAAAAAGAAACAACTCTTCTTTGCGAATCTACCAGTAGCGAAGAGAAATTGAATTTGACGGATGATGAAGGCGTGCTTACTGTGATTGATCGAGTTAAATACATCAAACTTAACAGAATTGGGAGCTACAACCTCCACTGTCCAGGTGACCGGCTTTTATAAGTAACCGGTATTTTCAGGTTAGGTAACCAGTTTTTGGCGATGTTGATGAAACGATTCTGAAACCTGAATAATTATCGATGCGACTCTGGCCTTTTGTATGTGTGTTTAATCAACTGTATTGGTTTTAAGATTCAAAAACACTAACTGACAAAACCTCTGATTAGATAAAGAACAATATAACAGAGATGACCTATGTGGATCGGGTGAAAGTAAATACGAGGGTCAGTTAAATGTCAGTGAGGACTTTAACTGGGACACAAAAGGACGGACTTCATTTGCAATTGACTGGGATCTTTATTGTGATAGGGAGTACCTCGGATCTATCATTAAGTCTGTTTACTTCGGTGGAGCTTGGGTTGGGCTATCAGCAGGCGGGTGGGTTCGTAGTGCTCTAATATCGGCCTTTAAAGGAAATTAATTGGAAGGTTGACTTAAACTTCCTTTTAATTCCTTGTGCAGATCATAGTCTAGAGTTAATATTGTTATTTTATGTAATTATGTTCTCCCATTTTCGTAAGATGTTAATTGTTGACAATATAGCATACATTTATATTTTTACTCTGAAATGATTTTGAAAAATCTTTCCAATATTCGGTAAGATCTTATCAGGTGGTTGTATGATGTGATAGGAAGGAAAAAAGGCGCTTTTGTCGGCTACGCTGTAGTAACAATAGCCTGTTTTGCCAACGCTGCTTCACCTTCAATAGAGTTTTTATTCGTGTGCAGATTTCTTCAAGGTAAATAGTTTCGTTAAGCTACTCATGTATTTGAGTCGACTGCTTTTTATTTTGTCTGGGATTTATTGACTCACTTTTCTGTCAATGATCACATGGCATTATCTTTGTATCTATTTACCTATTTTCAAATCTTTGCAGGTTTTGGAGTCTACCTAGGCTTCATGGGCATGTATGTGCTATTACTGGAGTATACGGCATCCGAGTACCGGGCAATTGTTAACACTGTCACTCTCGTATTTTGGGCAGTGGGGTATCTTGTTGTTACCATGACTGGGTATCTGATATACAGGTTTTAAAGAAAACTCTGTAGGTTATATTACTTGATAAATGTAACGGGTTTTTTAAAAGGTTAAGATAAACTTTGAGGTCAGAGATTTTTTTCTGGAATAAAGTAACGGAACAGCAATAACAGAGATAATAATCACAGTTGGCACTGGTTAGCAGCTACCCCTGGGTTTTTCTACTTGGCCTTCAATCTGATACCTCTTCTTTTGACACCAGAATCTCCTGGATTCCTTCTTACCACTAAAAGTGGGTAATTACAAATGGATGGTAAATTTTTTGATCACGATATGTCTTACTTACTTTGATAGTTAGGAATTTTTCACACGTTTGTGTAAAAATTACAGAAAGCTTTCCCAAATTAGAATAAATTAATTCACGTGAAACTTTTTCTGCGAGTGATTTGATAAGAGCCCATATTTACCGAGAGATCCCCAGGAGATGTAGAAGGATCCAAGGCGATGTTCCTTGTTGGTAAGACACAAGCCATTGAAATTATCGAGTTGCTTTCATTTTGCCTATCATCTATTTTCATCCACCAGGAACCTTAACAATGATAGATGACTAATCCTAAAATTCAGGCAGTGCTTCCTTCCTATTTGCAATGATACCTAGCAAGATCAGTGGTTCCTTCACGGTGGAGCAACTAAGCTGTCTCATTGGGAGCATGTTCGTCTCAGCAGTCTTTGGTTTTGTTTATCTTTACACTGCAGAACTAGCACCCATCTCTCACCGAGGAAGGATATGCAGCTATTGCTCGTGTGCTGCCCGTATCGGTAGGTTTCTTAAACATTTTAACATTGAAAATTTCATTGTCAACAATTTTCGAGGATACTTCAAAACTCTTTTGAATAAAGTAGCAAATATTCCACATTTTCAGGTGCTTTCTGTGGACCATATGCGAACCTGATGTTCGCCTGGAGCAAGTAAGTTCATTTAATATACATTTTAATCAGTGGAATTTTGAATGAATCATTCTCAGACAAAAAGAATTTTGCCACACGAATGGTTATTTATGTTTTTTCAGGCCAGGGACATTCATAATTTTTGCGATCTTGTCTGGCTTAGCAGGGTTGGCCACTTTTAGGCTTCCAGATACAAAAGGAATTCCAACCCTCAGCTCCGCAGAGGAGGTTTGTTCAAGAATCAAGATCCATTTGTTGTGATCTTTATAAACCTTTTTGATTATTATTAGTTATTTTTGGCGATAACAAAATAAATTACCGCGGAGTTTGGGAGAAAGGAAAAAGCCGCGGTAAGTCGGGGGTTGCGGTAAATCGGGGCGAGGTAAAAAGGGTTTTACTAGACTGTATTGAAAAATCATGAAGGAAATTTTTCTACATAGTGATAATGCATATAAATATACTTTTATTATGATGACTAGTCGGTGAGACTGTCAACCAACACACAACAGCAATCCTGGAATATTACATTTATAATAATTGGATCACTCAAAAATTATAGTGACTTATCATAATTAGGGTATCTAATTTAAAATTTTAAATATACCAATTTGATGCACCTATTAATCGATCAAAGGGGTCATTTAGCATTCTATATTCTCAGGTTCAGTCAAGAAGATTACAGAACTTGAATAAAACAGCCACGGACTCTGTCATCGACAACAAAGCATTTACAAAATTACATGAAAAAACGTTTTTCGAATAATTTCTGAGCTTCCTTCCTTTATCAATTATGAACTTGAAGCTATAATTATTATCGCGTTTGCTCTACCGTCCGAATCGACTGCATCGGCTATAATTCAGTCAAGCAGTGATTGGCTAAAATTTTGGTCGGCTATATGTTTGTAGCAAACGGTTTGCCACTGCCATTTTTCTGCCATTTTGGTAAATTTTGCCTTTACAATATTGCAACTTTGATAATAATCCATTCTAATTGCAACTTGACTCTTACTTGAGCAAACAGGAAAAAAGTAAAACAATTTATTCAAAAGGTATTGTTTTAGAATAATAACATTCGATTTTTATATACAATTTAAACGACATTTAAAAAAACAGAAAAGCAATTTTTTCTGCTAGTACTATGATATAGCACAGTTTGGGGAACAAGATCGCTAAACTCCGTTAAAAGAGTCTTCTCGGCCCAGAAAAAGGGCATTCGCGCTGCAGATAACCAATACCACCGCTATTTTTATGACAAAGATCTGAACAGTACACCTTCACACACAAAGGAAATTTTCAATAAACTAGAAGTATTAGCTTTACCGAACGTGATAGCTAAATGTATATTATGCTTAATGCACAAAGTTTATTCTAACACTGCACCACCAAATATTATAAGAATGTTCACTGTTTTAAACTTAAACGCACCTAGAAGAGAACCTGAGTTCTTTGCAGTACCATTTAACCGTTTATGTAATTCAGACAAGAGCATTTCTTACATTGGGCCTAAGTTATATAACAAAACAGTCAACATTATTAACAAGGACATAAAATATGTCACGACTTGCCTACAAGACAAATTCCTAAATTCATTCAAGTCTACAGTCAGCAAGCATGTGCTTACTGCACAAGCACTTAACCCGGATGACAAGGACTGGAACAACTCAAATTTCGTACTTTTAGAAATTTAAATAATTTGGTACAACATACGTTGATAATAACGAGCAACAAAATTTTAACCTCATAACGAAATATGACTATTTTCGAGCATTTTCTACAATGCTATCGCTACCGCGCAATTTCACTGTCATTTTGATTTACAAGACAAAAATATCACCGCGCATTCTTCAGACACTGTGTCGCTGTTCTAAATTTATGTCAAGAGATAAGAGTTATTTAGAAATTCTTAATAGTAGTACTATTCAAATTTGCTAATAGCGTAATCATATTTTATACATTATTCATATTTTATACATTGTGTGCATATTGATATATTTATATTTGATTGTAATTAAAGATTTTAAGGCGTTAGTGCCGAGTAATGCCTCTGGGTAGTGCTCCTCAATCAATATATATATGTTACTCGTATGCATTAGTGTATGCGAGGTGTCGTACGTCACCTCAATTAAGATCAGGTTACAGAGAGCTGACCCAATTGATCGGGTCGGAGGTCACGTGAGTAAGAGCCTGAAGTCACGTGACTATAACGTCACCAGAGCTTCATGTTCTCCGTTTCCCGCTCATTGGACCAGGTGATCTCGCATGCTTTTAAATTTTATTTGAATCTGAGAATGTGGAATGTGAATGTAAGTGTAATTCTAATAACCTGCCATAGAAAGCCAGATTTATTTTCTGAGAGAAAGCTAGATATTTACCAAAATATAATCGACCTTGTTATAAACTCATTTTGATGACCGTTCCTGACTTAAAAGTAAAACAAATATTTCAGAATATTCTAGAAGGTTATGGATTATTCTATGAGTACAGGGTAGCCAAGCCTGCAGCCTAACTATTATAATGAACAATTCGTCGCAACTTTATTTTTAGATTCCAAGATTTATTGAATTTGCATTTTTATTGTTGCATATATGTTCATTTTCCACTCTATTGCAAGTTAATTATTATTATTATTTTAACCCTTGCACAAACTTATCATTGAGGATAAGACCAATTTTGTCTGTCTATTTCTTGCTTCCAATCGAATTAGATAATAGCGGTGCTTTATTGAAAGCAGGAATCCGTCTAACCCTAAAATGGTGTCAAGACTCAAGAGACTAAAACAATTATTACCTATTTAAGGGGGCATACCCCAAATCTGTCCAGACCTAATGACCTCATAGGCAGTTCAGTGACCTTCTAGCGCACCGTTTCCACACCAAAAAAAATTATTTTGAGAATTCCCATTTTTGTAATCGAGCATTTCCTGGTTGAGAGTGCAATTTTCGGAAAAAATTATTTTGTGGTTGAGACGCTATAAGTAAATTATTTCTTGCGGTATCGGGTTGAAATTTTGCTCGCCGTTTATTCACATCTATTTCAAGGTGTGTGTAAAATCTTGATATCGTATCTAAAAAGGCTGGTGTGTTATGAATTTTTAAAGTCAAAAAGCTAAAATTGTCCTTTTCAGGCTTATTTTAACAAAAAGACAGTCAGGGAAGATCGGATTGATTTGATGCTTGACATCAAATTGTTCTCTGAATTCTGGCGCAGTTTTTGATGCCCTCAAAAATGTTTTTACTCATTCAGCTTCAGATCTATTGGACCTCAAAGCCAAACAACAAATTTTGGCACATTTTTCGGTTTTAATATTTACTGATTTTTCTAAAATTTTGATAGGAATGTGCTAGTGACTTTTTGAAGGGTGCAAAATAACCGCAACTAGCACATTTATATATGAGTTATGAACAACAAAACACCCTAAAATGCTTCCCTTTGAAGTTATGGGAAAAAATGTGATTTTTTATCTGCAAATCCAAAAAATCACAATTTGGTGTCAAGCATCAAATCAATCCGATCTTCCGGCTTCCCTGACTGTCTTTTTGTTAAAATAAGCCTGAAAAGGACAATTTTAGCTTTTTGACTTTAAAAATTCATAACACACCAGCCTTTTTAGATACGATATCAAGATTTTACACACACCTTGAAATAGATGTGAATAAACGGCGAGCAAAATTTCAACCCGATACCGCAAGAAATAATTAACTTATAGCGTCTCAACCACAAAATAATTTTTTCCGAAAATTGCACTCTT